AGTAACATGCTCATGCATGGTACGTAAACCATCGAATTTCATAGTGGTTAGGGTACCCATCAGTGTGCCAACAAGTGATTTGTCAGCTGTTTGGGAACGTTCTTCCACAAACTTCATATATTCCTTAGCAATCTCAGTTTTAGGGATAGTGGACTTGATATTATTTGCTAAAGTCATCCGCATAAACATTAGGCTTAATCTGTTTGATCTTCCCAAACCTTATGGAAAAATCTTTCGTCAGCACTGCTCTCATCAATGAGATCGGTAGGTTTCTCAACTTGAAGTGTCAAATCTAAGTCCAAAACACCTAAGTTGAACTAGACTTGTTTACACCAGTCAGAGAAATTGAGCCCATTGAATAGTGGTACAGATGAAGCATGTGAATGTAGAGAAATGGGAACAGATACTAAAAAAATAAAATGCTCTAACATTAATGCTTTGAGTTTTGACTTAAGCACTTAAATTCAGATTCAGATAACATTAAATGTATATCATAGTTCTCTTTTGAGTGATATTACGTTATACCATCATAATAAATATAATGATGCTAGTTAATTTCACGTAATNTTATACCATCATAATAAATATAATGAAGCTAGTTGATTTCACTTAATTGGTAATTAAATATATCATAATCAGACATGTATGTTATCTTTGAATATAAAAAACATATCTAACTAAATATATCAATTAACCACGATAATGTTGAAGATTAATAAAATTAATTGATCATTCTTTGGACGATCCATAACAATTTTATAATCTTTGAACGTCAATATACTCTTAACAACAATAATAATGAAGTCGTCTTCATTTATAAGCATCAAACCATCATGAATGATTGAAAAATGAATTATGTAATTTAAAGTTCGCAATATCATAATGTTTGGCTACTTTGATGACTAACAAACAACATTAATCGAACATAAATTACATAAATGAAGCATTTACCACTTGATGTTTATTTACAGATTTACATATTCTTATTCAGCCACAAAATACATAATAAATTCATCACTTTATTAGCATTTTTGAGCAATAAGCATAATATATGTCAGTAGTGAAAGACACTAATAATCAGAATTATTTATCATTCACGTAGAAACCTGAAATCTCATATAATAATTCGAAATTCTTATCTAATGCAGTGTAGTACCTCCAATGTCCTTGCTCCATTAATTACGGTAATGTAAATAAATATATATGTACAAATTTATGCCATTTCTTAGAAATTGAGGCTTTTGGAAGAAATTGAAATACGAACAAATTTCAAGATTAAAATAGACCGTGGTGTATTCTGTACACATTTAGATAATACTATAAACTTATGAAACTAATTAGTCTCATTTTTCTTTCTAACCATTTACAGTAATTACGAAGAAAATAAAGAACCCAGAACTTAATTAACACAATTAATGGCTATGTGCAAACTAAATTTAACAATGATTGATATCATTAATTTCAAGAGAGGCACAACATGAAATAAAAATAGTCTTTAAAGGAAAATCAAGAATTTCCTAACTTGGCTCTTATACCACATGTAAACAATTATATAATCATAATACCAAGATCTTTAAAATTCATGATTTTCACATATAGAATTGATCAAGAAGTATACTTTGATCCATAGCAATAATTGAAAGATTTAAACCTGCAAAACATAAAACTAATAAAATCTAGAAACCGTTATTTCTCTTATCCTCTATGTAATTGAATGTAATCATTTGATGGGCTTCATTGCAATTTCATGGTCATAAAAGAAAATTACCCACTTTCCATCAAAGTGGACATTTATTAAACTGCCACTTTTTCAAGGACCAATAGAATTTTATCAATAATTAACCACCATTAATTAATTTATTAATAATATTACTTGACCAAATTAATTGTTCTTACAGAATCTGGCTGAAACTCAAGAACCCAAACACCAAGCTAACCGAACTGAACAAGAAACTGTAATCCCAAGTTGCTGAATTTGATTTTTACCAAGAGAATCAAGCAAAAATCAAATAAAACAACAACAAATCAACCGAGTAACAAAGAAAACTCAAGAATGCGAGAGAGTGAGTGTTTCTCTCACTAGAGTTTAGAGTTTCTCTCTCTAACCACTTGACTTCAGTTTCAAAAGGTTTATGTGCATAAAATGTGAGTACTGCCGCATATCTATCAGTACCTCCCTTAATTTTCTCCTACGTGTTCTAACGATTGAATTGCCCTCGGATCAATCTGTCACACTCTTTGAGACATAAAAACAGGTGCAACACAAGTGTTACATGTTTGTGCTCTTGCCATTTGAGTGTGAATAAATCAAACCAAGCTGAAGAAATTTTTGAATCCAGAGTGATAAAATGTGTAAAAATTCCTTCAAATTCTTCATGTATCCATGGTTTGCTATGGGCCATCTCACCTCTTTTATTCATCTCTCCAACAAACTTGCTGAAAGAGGCCATAAAATCTTCTTTATCCTCCCCACAAGAACACAATCCAAATTGGAACAATTCAATCTTCATCCTGAACAAATCAGATTCATACCGATAATTGTTCCACACGTTGAAGGTCTCCCTTCAGGCACTGAAACAACTGCAGATATATCTTTTTCAATGAATCCTCTTCTTCGGTATGCCATGGATCTCACACAACCTGTCATTGAATCTTTTCTCCAAGAACTCGAACCCCATTTTGTGTTCTTTGATTTCGCACATTGGCTTCCATCCTTGACACGCCGGTTAGGCATTAAGTCGATTAATTATTTCACGATAAGCCCTGCAGCTGCTGGATACTTACTTCAAGATGAGTCATTGACAGAAGCTCCAAAAGAATTTCCTCCATCGTCCATCAAGCTTTACGCACATGAAGTGCTTGCATTAAATGGTGTAAACAATGGAAAGGAATTTGGCTGTGGAATAACTTTTGTGCAGCGTATACTCATGGCTACAAATGACTGTGATGCCATTGCTTTTAAAACATGTACAGAAATGGAAGGTCCATACTGTGAATTTCTAGAAAATAAGTTCAAGAAGCCAGTCATTCTTGCAGGGCCAGTTTTGCCAGAGCCACCAACTTCAACTCTAGAAGAAAAATGGGCAAAATGGTTGGATCAATTCAAGTCGAAAACCGTGATTTTTTGTGCATTTGGTAGCGAAGCTAGGCTTCGAAAGGATCAATTTCAAGAAATTCTATTGGGTTTGGAGTTTACAGGTTTCCCATTTTTTGCTGCTCTAAAACCACCTATTGGAACTCGATCAATAGAAGAGGCTTTACCAGAAGGTTTCACTGAGAGAACTCGAAAACGAGGAATTATTCACGAAGGTTGGATTCAACAACAATTGATCTTAGGACACCCTTCAATAGGGTGTTTTGTAACACACTGCGGGTCAGGTTCCTTATCGGAGGCCTTGGTGAATGAGTGCCAATTGGTGCTAATGCCACATGCTGGTGATCAAATCATTAATGCAAGATTGATGGGAGGAGATCTAAGAATTGGAGTTGAAGTTGAGAAAGGACATGATAATGGCTTATTTACAAAAGAGGGTATCGTTAAGGCAATAAGATCAGTTATGGAATATGATAGTGAGATTGGAAAAGTAGTTAAATCCAACCATTCTAAATGGAGGAATTTCTTGCTGAGCAAAGGCCTTGAAGATTCTTACATTGATAGCTTTGTTCACAAGTTGGGAAGCCTCGTGGATGTTTGATAAGTGAATTGGACAACAATATTAAGGTAGAAAAATAAGTTCAAGATTTGTGTATTATACTAAAAAGACTATTGATCAATGGAAAATGTCTCTTTGTGGGAAAATAATTAATTTGGAGGAAATATTTTTCAGTTTCTACCTCTGGGCTGCAGTGAAATATTACCTATAAATGAAATGAGTTATATAGAAAATTATTGGGAAATTTGGCCAAACAGCCCGGTAACACATTGATTTTGGACAAATGGCCTTTGACCTAGAATTTTAAAAAAATAAAATAAAATAAAAAATAATAAGGTTTTAATTGATAAAAAAACCAATTGTCATTCAGTTTTTAACTCAAAAATCATCAAATCTTCCCTCATTTCACCCGTTTCTTCAGTAATACCCTATTCTCCCAATTTCAAAAATCAACATCTTCCTTCTTCCTCTTTTTCATCTTCTTCAACTGGAATTTTCTATTACGACGGTGGAAGAAAACTCAAATCAGAGGTACAACTTTCTTCAACTGGAATTCATCTCCATACTACACATTATTGTATTCTCCTACTTCGGACGGTGCTAGACATAACTTTTCAGCTTTTCAGATTTTCTTGAAGAAAATGTTATCGCAATTTCTTGCTCTTTATTATATCATTTTTTTCTCGTTTTGTTATATTATCTTGTGAAGAACATGGATCTTCAATCTTATATTCTGAAAGAATATCGAATTTAATTTCCTTTTGCTCTTCTTTGATGGGAAAAAACTTAGTACTTGACATTCTCAAATATGAAAACTGCTCAACATCGGAGCACATGAAATGAAGGGGTCCTACATGAAAAGTAATCAACAAATTACCATCTTTTCTTTTTCTTTAATTAAATATTTTCACTGCATTTTTTTGGAGTTTTTCTCAGCACTTTTGAAGCAAGAAGTAGAGTGAGAGAAATGTTAGTGATGATGTTAGAGGAGGTTTTCAAACACTTGTATTTGGTGAAGGATCCAATGCACACTATCTCTCCTAAAATAATATCTCTCACTCTATATTAACATGCATTCATATGGGTATATATGTTAGTGATTAGTACTTATAATCTGTTTAATGAAAAATAAGCAACTTTTTTTTTAATCTCTACACACTTTGATGCAACTTATGCACGTGGTTGATCAATGTGGACCATCTACAAATGTTTAATTTCTCTTAATATCTTTTCAACTATTATCGCATCACATTTATTTCAGTGTTAAAAACTTTTTTCCACTAAAGTATCTATCATCACATAATTTACATTAAGTTTATGTTTCAATTTCACTTTCTAAAATTCATTTATTTTTATGTGAGTGTTTGTTTGGTAAATGATTGCTTTGAAAATAAGATTTCTAACTCAAATATTGTTTTGCATTTTATATTAGGAAATCAACATAACAACACAAGTGTCGTTAAATGATACTTATGTCGTTCTGTCTATAAAGACGAGTATAAGTAGTCACGACCCGTCCAAACCCCGATAATCGATAAGTCGAACTCATTAAAGTTGCAGAATGGACATGTCGCTTACAACATTCAAGAGACATGCTCATTTCTTATATTTTCTATCGAATGTAGATCATAACTTGTGATTTCACCACTGGATATCATATAATNTATCATATAATCTATGTCAATTTTACCATTATTTGTCACATAATCAACATTTCGAACTTTCTTTAAGTTAGGGGGTCCAATGATTGAGTTCATTGCGTCGGAAAATAAGTAAAAAATTGGAGAAATCAACAGAACGGTTTCGTTAAACGACACTTGTGCCATTCTGTCTATAAACATGAGTATAAGTAGCCACGACGCATCCGAGCCCTGATATCGATAAGTTGAATTCATTTAAGTTGCAGGATGTACAAACCATTTACAAAATTCGAGATATATGCCCATCACTTAATCAACATGAAAAAAAGAACAGCACAAATGCCGTTACCGTTTTGAAAACGGCACAAGTGCCATTACGTCTGTAAACATGATATGAATAATTGATGTGATGTATATTTTGAAATTAATTTGATATTAAGTCAACAATATCTAATTTTTGAACATCATTTCTATATTTTCTAGGTAAAATACTCAAAATGACACCCGTGATATTTTATTGTAACAAAAAAAAAAACAATATATTTGCCTTTATAACTTCATTGATTCTAAGATAATGACAAAATCAATAGTTTCAAACATTATAAATAGTTTGCATTTCAAAATGAGAAAAGTAGTACCTCATAACACCACCATAATTTTTCAATATTACAAAAGTAGTACATCATAACACTATAAAACCTAACATATGTGCCTTTTTGTTTTCATTGTTCTTGTCTCTCGCTGAATTGTATACGATCTGTACAAATGATGTGGTCATGCCCAAGTTTCAAACACCTACCACACTTACGAGACTCGCGCACCTCTCCAACTGATTGTTTCCTTTTTTTTTTTTTGTGGACATCCACTTCCTCTTCGTGTTAATGGTCATATTACCTTTCTTGATCGAACATTATCGGGAATTTCCCTATCCACCTTGTTTGGCAGTGGATTTATATATTCAAAATAAGCTTGTTTGCAGTAAAAAAAGTGCTATAATATAGAGAGCAAAACCTGTAATAGTTATCTCCAACATCCCTCATTACAACAATTGCATGTGCACATTGAAATTAGTCCAGATCAAATTCTTTGCATGTGCATGTTTCCCTCTCCAAATTAACAATGAAATTTCCATTTCATCACTCACTTGCATCTCATCTGGGCTAAGAGTTTTCACCTCGAAGCCTTTTGACTCGTTATACCAATCATACATCTTCTCCTCCAAAGGCGGGGTGAGGTAGCTCGAACAATTTTCGGCATCAACACGTCTATCATGCNTACTCAAGTATATATCAAAGTAATACGAAAATAATTATCATATTAAAATTATCAAAGTAACCACTTTGTATTATTAATAATGGATAAATAATAACATATAATGGTTGTACCGTCGTTTTAAACGGAAGATAACGACTATAGTATCTTTCTACACTACGAATAACGGTTGGAGTGCTGTTCTAAACTACAGATAGTCCAATAGTCGCGGACAACACAAAAATACACCAAATGCGATAATAAAATCAACTAAAATATCATTTCACACTAGATTCAACAATAAAAATACCAATGTACATGATATTTCTAAAAATACCTTTCTTTTTCTTCAAATATAGTAGATATTTTAATGTAGATAATATGGAAACCAAAATTCTTGTTCAAATGCTCAAAATATTGAAGAAGATAGGTAAAGAATATAATGAATAATATGATTTTAGGGTAGCAAGCATAGAGAAAGCACGTTGATGCGATTTGGAAATGAATTGAGAAATTTGACTAGAATGAAGGAGGTGTTTGGGTCTTTTCCACGGTGAGGGTGTTTTGGACATTTGATATTATTTGTTTATTGTATTTTGTAATTGAATGCTATTTGACCAACAAACATTGGAATAATGCTATTTAACCAAATACATTGTTTGACTAGGTTCTTTAACAAACTCTCCCAAAATTATTTGTTGATTAATTGTTGATTATTAGAAGTTCATCACGAGTCGATGTTCAATAACGAACTACTAAAAAATTATTACGCTTGAATATTATTATTGATCACTACTTGACATGTCATTAATGTTNTTTGGACATTTGATATTATTTGTTTATTGTATTTTGTAATTGAAGGCTATTTGACCAACAAACATTGGAATAATGCTATTTAACCAAATACATTGTTTGACTAAGTTCTTTAACAAACTCTCCCAAAATTATTTGTTGATTAATTGTTGATTATTAGAAGTTCATCACGAGTCGATGTTCAATAACGAACTACTAAAAAATTATTACGCTTGAATATTATTATTGACGTGATGAACTGTACAGTAATTACAATCTTTAATTTGTCACCGATAATCATGAGTCAATAACTTATATCAGCGAAAAGTTACGAACAAATAATTGTTAATTGCCAGCAGTGGCGAATCCATGATCGGAGTTTAGCTATCACGGACCTTGATCGTTAACCATTGACCGTCAACAATCAATGATCGTAAGAGAAATGTCGTTTATTAAGATTTAGTTTAATAATATTAAAATGCCCCAATTTATTTTTCAATTAAAATTGTTTAAAGAACAGAGAACACATGGTTGAATTCAGCACATATCTTTTCCAATAATTTTTTTTTCACTTATCCCAATTTTCTAAACATTAAGTTCCCAAATCACAAATAAAAACTCATAAATAATAAATTATAATTCATAAAACATAAATTATTTATCATAAATCACCATTCTTATTTCTCAATCATAACTCATAAAACATAAATTATAACTCATAAATAAAAAATAAAAAATGAATTATGTGATTAATAGCACAGATGACAGAATAGAGAACAAAAACCAATAAAAGAAAGAAAGAAAGAAAAAGAAAGGTGCTCACTACATAGTCGGAGATCAGAGATTTGAAAGCGTCGACGACGACTCCTCGCTTGTCGGCAGCAACAACTAGCAACAAACTTCACTTTGCAGTTCGCACAAATCGCATGGCAACAACAAGTGGAAGGGTTTGCCTTTACAATTAGCCCCCGTTTGAGCCCCATTAAATTAAATTGTATTACATTAATTTTTTTCTCTCTTCATTTCACCACACATTCATCAAATAAAATAATATTACACATAAATTTAAAACTTTTTAACCGCACATTCCCCCATCAATCACTATTTTAAAAATTTTCAACCTCCAAAAATGGGGGCTAAACGGGGGCTTAATCGATTTGGAACATTTGTTGTGGGTATTGGGGGTAATGAATATAATACATATGATATATCCAAGATGGACCATGCTATATTACCAGAAGGATTTTGTCAGATCCTTACCAGATACTCACATGGAGTTTTAATAATATAAAATTATCTTCTGTTAAAATACTATTTTGCCCTTAATGAAATATTTTGCAGGTTAAAACCTGCATCTTTTATTTCTTTTTGATTTGTAACCAC